GGGTTTAGGGTTTAGGGCTTCCTTGCACGGGCTCCTGTTAAGGGCTGCTTCAAGGCTCCTCTTTACAAGGTCCCTTCAGGCAGTCGATGTGTCTTGAGGGGATGCGGCAGAGGACGTGCAGACCAAACATCGGCAGTGACAGTGGCAGTAGGAGGAGGAGGAGGAGTAGTTGCAGTAGCAGTACCAGCAGCAGCAGTAGCAGCAGCAGCAGCAGTACTTAGCAGTAGCAGTAACAGTAGCAGTAGCAGCGGTAGCAGCAGCCGCCGCCTTAGTGGCAGTAACATCAATGGTGCCTGTACTGGTGGCGTAGGGAGGAGACAACCCTAAACCCCAAACCCAAAATAAATTGAAGCAGCAGAGCAGTAGCAGTAGCCGTTAATTCCCTGCGCCTCAGATACGACGCTTCCAACTTCGGACGCCGCCTTCGGCCAGGATGCCACGAGCTCATGCCCTCAACCCCAAATGCTCACAGTTCAAGGCTTGTTGTCAAAATAGGGGGCTGTTCCGTGTTTGCGCAGAAGTCTTGCCCTTGCCAGCTTAGGATGCATGCACTACCGTGGAAGCCAGAAAGTTGTTATATTATTATCCTCATACCCTTAATTAAAGGTAAAGTATAAGGGATCCTAGCACTAATCCTCCTAAACCCATGCTCCAACTTTCTGAAGTTCCCTATTTCCCCTATATCCCTAAATCCCTATAACCCTAAACCCTAAACCCTAAACCCCAAACTCTAATCCTCCTGAACCCATGTTCCAGCTTTCTGGGATTCACTATAGGACCTTAGGGACCTGTGGGATTGAGTGCCAAGGCTTGGGACGCGGCTCTTCTGGGTTCGGTTTGGGGTCCAGCCCTTCAAAAATCATCTCTGCACTTAGGGTTTAGGGTTTAGGGTTGAGGGTTTAGGGTTTAGAAACATGTACCTGCCCACCTACGTACCCACCTACCCACCTACTTTCCTCCTACCTACCCAACTCCTGCATGCCTGTCTGCCTGTCTTCCTGTCTGCCTGTCTGTAAGTTTACAATTACGGGTTGCGGGCACTGTGAGCCCCATGACTGTGACGTCTTTCTGTCAGCATCACCACCAACATCCCCGCTATCATCCTCTCAGCAGCAGCATTACTATCATCGTCAACATGATCATGAATCACATGATCACCGAAGAAGATGTGGCACGGTCTCTATAACCAACATCATCAAAATCATCCCGACCATACTCACTACCATTCTGAACGTGATTATAATCGAAAACAAGTCTAAATCCTTGTCCTCGCCATGAAATCATCATCATCATCATCATCATCAAGAGCCTCATCCTCGTCCTCGCCATCGACATCTTCCTCACCGCCATCCTGGGGCCACCACCTGTATCCCTCACCACATAATCCATGTTGTCATGTTCAGCAGCAAGGTCACCTTCATCATCAGCAACATCCATCTGAGACGGCGACTACGACTACGACTGAGACTGCTCTAGGACGATGCCTCCTACATTTGGCCAGAACATCACCGTCAGCGCTATCAAGACAAAGTTCAACAGCTGTCCATGTCTGTACCATGAAACAACACTGACTTCAGTTGCACAAACCTGGCCAACGTCACAACTGTGCTATCCCTGCTACAGCAGACCAGGGAGCGTAGGAGGAGCACTTGTGTGCCCAAAACCCTCATGAAGGGGCCTTAACCACCCGGAATAGGTTCTTGTGCTAAATAGCGACTTCTATCTAGGGGTTCGCATCTCATACCATTTTTACAGACCTCAGAATTACACGGTAAACTCTAAACCCTAAAAACTAAACCCCTAACACTCCCCCCCTGCAAAGGCAGGGGCCTTAACTTGGCTTTGGGGGATACGATACGAAAGTTATAGCTCGGACTACAGGGAAATGGTGTTGTTAATTATTCCGACCAATATCCCTAAACCCTAAACCCTACATTCCCTAACTTTAATCTTGGCTGACTTCTAAGCCCCTCATAAAAGTTAGACTTTTAGCTCTCTGATTATGGTTCATATAGAGGCCCAAAAGTTAAAGTCCTAAGAGCCAACCAAAAGAACGCCAAGTTAATCTTTCTTGGACCCCGCCTCTGCTTCGATTTTGTCTGTATCTTCTTCTTCGCCACCATCTGACATGGCCTGTTCTGGGTTCAGGGTTTCGGGTTTAGGGTTTAGGTTTCAGGGTTTGGGGTTTGGGGTTTAGATACGTAGGTAATTCTCTAGAATAGGGTCCCTTTTGAGGTCCCCAATATAGTCGTAGTACGGCACCCTTACCCTAATTTAGAGAACTACCCACACGGGTGGTTGTCAAAATTAGGGTCCCTTTTTGGGGTACCCTAAATAATAGGTGCCGTACTATAATAAGGACCCTAAAGAGGGACCCTAATTTAGAGAACCACCCACATGAGGCTGCAGGTACGAGAATCCGCGCCTACCCGCAGCTAGGCGCGTGGGCGAGCAGCAAGGGATTCATTCTCGGAAACACATCCCTTGAAGATCAAAGCCATATTCTGCGGAAGAAGAGCTCTGCAACATGCTGCACAAGCCGGGAACGGTCGGTTTAGAGTTTAGGGTTTAGGGTTTAGGGTTTAGGGTTTATGGAGCACGGGCAATGGAAACCCTCCTGCTGGAAGAGCAAGCAAACCACGGCACACCTGCAACTCGAGCCTTTGCAACAATTGCTAACACACGACACCGTTGCTGCATCTTTTGGCAGTCTCTGGTGCCGGCAATCGCTGCCTCTGCATGCTACCGACAACCTTGCCGCCCGATCGTAGAGATCTCAGAGGAGACAGAGCCGGGGAGCAGAGCCAGGGCATCTCGCTTCCGTTATGCTCATCTCCTCCCAAGCGGTCGCACGTGAAGATCTCCGCGCAAGTCTTGGCTAGCATAACAAAGTAACGAAACATGACACACAAGATTAGGTTAGAGCAAAATCGACTACTCAAATATATCAAAATAAGATTTTCTAGAGCAAATCGCCGGAAAACCACGGGATCAGCTCTTCCTCGCCGAAGTCGTCCCTTCCGAAGTCGCTGATGCCCGGGATCTCCGATGTCATGCCTTCCTGGGTTCTTCTTGTTAGCGAATTTCATTTAAGTTACCATACAATACTAAGGAAACTGTATTATCGTACCATACAGCACTAAGGAAACTATATTACTTACTACAGACCCCAAGTGCAGCAACTCAACTTACATTCCTTAACACGAAGCCCGGAGCATCCAAGGTAGATCCGTTGAGGGAGTTCCTATACAGTACCCTTTAGTAGTATCGGCTCTCAAATTTAGCGTTCCGAAACCCTAAACCCTAAACCCTAAACCCTAAACCCTAAACCCTAAACCCTGAACCCTGAACCCTAAATCCTGAACCCTGTCTTTTGCTCTGCCGGGCAGCCTGGGAGACGATCTAAAAGTAGAACCCCTATTTTGGGGACCCTAAATACTAAAGGGTACTTTATAGGAACCCCCTTAAGGGATCTTTGTAATTTGGGAACCTGACTACTAAAGGGTGCTTTATAGGAACCCCCTTACGGATTCTACTTTTTGGATCCTCCCGGTAGAACCCTTTAAGGGAACCATTAACGGAGCCAGGGGGGGAACTCTAGATTGAAGAACCTAAACACCCTAAACAAACACTAAACCCTAAACCCCTGAACCCTAAACCCTAAACCCCAAAACCCTGAACCTATACCCCAAAACCCCAAAGCCCTAAACCCCAAAACCCTGAACCCTAAACCCAAAGCTAGATGAAGAACCCCTGCAAAAACTTGAACTTTTAGTCTCCTTATTATTATGGTTCATATAGAAACCCAAAAAAGTTAAAGTCCTAAGAGCCAACCAAAAGAACGCCAAGTGTATGCCCTAAACCCTAAACCCCAAACCCTAAACCCTAACCCTGAACCCCTAAACCCTAAACCCCTAAACCCTAAACCCTAAACCCCCCAAAAAAAAACAAGCAAAGTTAATCTTTCTCGGACCCCACCCCCAAAGCCCTAAGCTAGATGAAGAACCCTAAACCCTAAACCCTAAACCCCAAAACCCTAAACCCTAAACCCTAAACCCCAAAAGAACGCCAAGTAGATGAAGAACCAAGCTTCTCAGAGACCTCGCCATGGAGGCACCTGGGCGCGTCTTCCCCAAACTCTTAAGGGGCTTTGGGTTTAGGGCTTTAGGGCTTAGGGCTTTAGGGTTCAGGGTTTAGGACTTTAGGGTTTAGGGCTTAGGGCTTTGAGCTTTAGGGTTTAGGGCTGTAGGGCGTTAGGGCTTTAGGGCGTTCGGGTT